CGTAAAAATTTTCGTTCTTCTCCTGTAATTCTCCACACACACACCGGACGACTCTCAGCCCCCATCCATCCACCCTTCCTGCCTTCATCTACAGATGCTCCACCTGCAGCTTCACCATGTGCGTAATCTCACGTCCGTCGAGATCAGAAAGCGTGATGGTCAAGACATGCTCCCCCACCTTAAAGGGAAAGAACTCAATGCACTCCTCGTAACTTTTGCCATCGTCGTGCTCCTCCTCGTTCTTTTCACTGCTGTGACGAGGGCTAGCAACTGTTTTGGTACCGCCACCGACTAGGCTGGTGGTATCCACAGGACCACTGAGAACGTCAGCATCCAGGTGGTTTTCCATGGAAAGGCGAACACGAAGCGGCACCGCCTGCCTCCATGGTGCACTAACCCGCACAAGGAGTGTCACAGGCTGCATCACCGAAAATCTAAGCGGAAATTCACTCGTCACGGCGTGTCCGCTTCGCCACTGGTCCTTGAAGGCGGCCCCACCACTCTCGTCCCCCGAGACACACATAACACGAACCACGGCATCCTCCAAGGGCTCCATGCTCACCAACACATTTGCAAGGATTGAAAGGTCCAAAGCGAGCTCACCGCGGCACTCGGGAAGTTCTCGCACCACCCACGGGAGTAAAAGCTGACGTACGTTTGCTGGAATTTTTGTAATTTCTATAGGTGGAATGAGATATTCTGCACCTGCCACAATCAATGCGTCAGGGATGGAGGTGAACAAGAGTCGACTACAAAGAATTTCAATGGTGTATAACTCGCTTTTGTTCTTCACCGTAATTTCAACGCACCGCCGATCCCTCGAGAGCTTCAGCGAGGTCACAGAAACACTAGGGACCTGAAAGACCCGAAGAAATGTTTCCTGCAGACGGCGAGGAATGACTGCAAAAACAGGAACAGCACTGGGAACATTTTCTGGAGCTTCTGGTGCATCATATGACAGCTCTATAGTGGCGCGAAACACGACGCGTTGAAACACCACATGATCACTACAGGCTGGGGCAATCATTGTCACGTGCACCAGCAGGGTATCGCCAGGTTCCAGGCAACGCGAGGTCCCCTTCTGCTGAAAGGCATCGGACTCCAGTGTAACGTAGAGGGATGTGGAGTTCACGCGTTCCTTGCATCCAGTGCATGAATCCAGCTGGCATGACTCATCATGCGCTGTGAGGTGCAGTTTGTGTATCGTCACTACACCGGAGTTTGTCAAATAGAGCGGAAAATGAATTGTCTGACCTCCAAAAATTTCAACCTCATTGACACCCAGCGTACACGTAATGTCGGGAAGCTGCTGCAGGACAGGAATAATAATGGGATTTGGCGAGGGCATCAGAAAGGTGGCGCAGAGAGGCAGCTTCCCGAGACGAATCTCCACGCCGTCCACCGCAAGATAACCCCGCATATTCGGTTCCACCTGCAAACGCAGGAGACGTTGCGACATCGATGGCAAAATCAAACCCGTCACTAGATAACTCGATGGAGCAAGAGGCCCAACCATATGTCCTGCAGTACCATCACCAATACGCCCGAGATCATCTAGCGTCTCCACAGAACGACAACGAAGGGCGATGGATGTTAATTGTAGATCACGACGAAAAGGATTTCGTAAAACCAACTGCACCTCACCCACTGTTCCAACAGCCCACACCACCTGTCCGTGTGGTAAAACGTTTCCATTCAATGTAAGCATCGTCATCTTCAGCCGTCCAGTGTCGATAAAGGTAAACTGGGCACCACTCAAGGGAGCCGTTTTTGGCGCCAAGTGGGGCGGTAACGGGAGTACCTCCATGCCTTGCAACAGAGGTGGTGGTACCACCACGAGAGACTCTATCGCCGCATTGCTTCGCTCCAGAATCTCCAACAACAGCTCTTGTGTCTCCCGACGGAGAATAGGATAGTACTCAAAGAGAAGAAGAGAGGCAACAACACTCTGAATGCCATTATCCAAGCCAGCTTCTGTCACCGCATCAAGAAGCTTCATCAGTAGTGGTACATCCTGAGCCTTATGGACACGCTGCGCCGTAGAGCCTGCCTCTCCCACACCACCGCTCACAGTATCACAGCCTCTTATTTCTATCGCAGCAACCTCCTTCCACTCTGCCGCCTGATCTTGAAACTCCATCAATGGAAGAGGAATGCCAGCCATCCTACAGGCACGCATCAGTAATGCTATGGAGGCGCCATGAGCGTTTGCCTGTCGCTCCGATACGGCAGCCTCGACAACGTTAAATATGGCCTTCCGCCAGCAACCACAAAGGGAACTCAGGTAGGGGATCTGCTTCCGCAGGTCTTGCTGCATCGACTCCGGTGTGTTCTTTGCCGATGCCTTCAGAACAGTCAGAGATTCCAGGAACTTTCGTTTATCTCCCTCTTCTGCAAGCAACTCTGTCCGCTTGAGGTGGATGTTCGCCTCTCGCTCCTTCAAACCGGCCCGGGACCCGGTGGTAATGGAACGAATCTGCTGCAAGGCCTCCTGAAGATAAAGCTGCAATTCCATAAAACTCAGCCTAAAAATCTCTTTAAACGCCTCGCGTGCGTTCTTCCCAGCATCCTCAACGTGCGTGCCCATCGCCTCTTTGTTGTCCCCCTTAAAATAACGATGAATTATAGCAATCTGGCGCCGGAAGTTTTCAATTTGTATGGATAGAGGTTCCTCCACCTCTTTGAGGAGTCTGCGGTTCAGTGGCGCGGCTGGTAAGCTGTGCTTAAGCAGCAAAGTGGCCCTACGCTGATCCGCTCGCACACTTTCCACAACGGTCTCCAATTGTTTCAGTGTAGTACTCATCTCCGCATTCCACACTGTTTCGTCACTTTCGAGCGACGAAAAAATATTCTCCACTACCGTTGTAACATCTAGCATCGGGGGTCTTTGCAAGTAACGCAAAGCCGCAAGGGCTTCTAGGGTTGCGGAGCACCACATCGCATCCGCGTCTGGTAGCGACTCGTGATAGGCAAGTAGTGCGGCATCTAATGCACCCAAACGCAAGAGAAGATCTCCCTTTTTCTTTGCCAAACGGGAGTGCACAATGCGGCCATTAACAACTTCATCACCTCCACCGCTCACTTTGTCAATACCCTCAGAAGCGGGCTGTGTCGCAGGTGACACCGTGCCTACTGAGGATGTAAGAGAGATGATGCTGGCATTAGCCTGCTGCACCACGGGAAGGGCAATCTCCATCAGGAGGTGCTGTGCCACCTCCTGCACCGGTGTGGAGGCGTGGGCGAGAAGAAAGATATGATGTGACATTGACGCCTGCGCATCCGCTGTAGGATCTAATACTATACAGCGACACGTACACTCTTTAAAATATCGCTGAAAGACCAATTTTAGTGCCGCGAGGGCCTGACAAGGCTCGTGGTCGTGGCAGTTGAGGACTGCTATCACAGCAGCGACACTTTTGTGGGCCTCCATTTCAGCCCATGGTGAGGCAGCAATTGAGCTGACATCAGAGGCAACGTCGATCCGCATTTCAATTAAGGCATCCTCCCTGTAGTACTCTGTGGAGGCTGGAAAGACACCACGAAGAGAGCGTACAGGCACAAAAGGATTCTTCAACAACTCATGCAGCATACGTCGCTCAAATCCACTTGCTGCATCTAAGGAATGCCGCCCTCCATCCTTTACGGGAGCACTGCTACTGCTGCTCCTGCTGGGGTCACAGGTAATGATATTTTTATCTAAACCACTCACACGTGTTTCCGAGGCACACTCCAAACAGAGCGATATTGGGAGCCAAAGGACCGACACGCAACGGTGGAATCGCAGCGATGTCGACGGTGGTTGTGACACCAAAGTAACAACTGTTTCTTTCATCTTTTGAACAGAGTGTGGAAAAAAAAAGTGGCAACACAGGCACGCTGATGACACACAAGATAGATAATGACAACAACAACAACCAAACAAACATCAACACCACATCGTTACTTGACACGGCAGACGCTGCAGCTTGCATAAACACATACACACGGAGACATACAGCAAAAGATGGAAGAAGTGGGGTGCGCAGAACCACAGCAACGATGCTGTACAAACAATCACGAACAGTGTGCCACGTTGATGCCACATATCCCAGAGAAATACCATTGTTTCGCAGCAGTCTTGCTTATAGATGTCAATATCCCGCTCTCCTTGCCGCAACGCCCCACCGCCCTTATTCAATGATAAGATACGTGTCAGAAAGCTGGCATCCCCCTCTTTCCTGTGCAGCAACGTCATATATTTTTGTGTCACGGCACTTGTTAAATTAAGATTTCGTTGTTGTATTTCCACCCAATTATAGAAATCCACATCTTCCATTGGCAATTGTGTCAGTAGAACAACCTGAAGTAGTGTGAGTGTGTGAGAGGGTCACTCTCCTCCCCGTCAATGGAATGGTCTCCCGCGCCACCCACTATCCTGGAGACGCAGCAGCAGTTGCATGAATGCTGCCTCCCGTGCCGTTGACTGAGCTAACGGTAGTTATAAGGGGTGATCATCAAGATAAATATTGCCTGGTCGAAGATGGGCGTGTCTGACGGCATCGCATGAGACGATCAGAACGGTTGTTATTTGCTCGAGAAGTACAAAGACAAATACAAAAACCGTTACTGTTTAATAAAAGGATTTTCCCCACATGAAAAAACAACAGAATAAGCCACGCATCGCGCGACACCTTTTTCCCCCTTTTTTTTCGTTTTATGTTGGCTGATGCATTATCATTGCACTTACACCTCCTCTCGTAACAATGAAGGAAATCAGCACGAGTAGAAAAACAACAATATGTATATATATATATATATATAATGCATATAATGCATATAATGTATTACATATATAATTGCATGACATAAGCGTGTTTTATAGCCACAACTACAACTTATATGAGGCCATCAACCTCCAATGAATATGGCACGCGTTTGTAGACAAATGTGAGAGTATTTTGCTCTTCCAAGGTTCACCGCCTCCCCAATCCTTTCCCTTGTGTTTTCCATAGAAAGTATCCTCACCTCATTCGTTGCCATTAAACAGAAGAAGATGCCCAAAGGAGATGACACGCACGGGAAGCTCACATGTGGGTGATTTGTCACTGTCCATGCGCAAAACGTAGTACAACTGCCCCTTCATCACCATCGGATTATCACCTGGGTTCACAAAACTCAATTCAAACCGCGACAATACCTCCTCATTCTCTCCCTCATTTTGATTGTGACGATAATCCTCCTCAGCGGCAGCCTCAGCGTTGCGGGAGTCACTACAATCTCCGTTACCACTGCTACCACCGCATTTTCCAATTCCTCTAAACGGTTCCTGAACCAGCGTCCACACATGAGCCGCATGCACGTAGCCGACGTCCTCAAGAAGCTCAGAGGATGCGACATCGAGCCGCAGAAAATATGAGTTCACCACTTCTATTCGGGCTGCGGGATCATGCGGCTGCAAGTCAAACTGCAACATGAAGCAACGGTAGGCCTGGGAGAAGGGAGAACCCTGCTCCGGAAGCTTCCCCTGCAGTGCGGCATCAAACAGCCGCACTGACACCGTGAGAGTGAGATCTGCGTTGCGGCACTCGACACGGCGCGGAATATGACGCCGGGCAAAATCTATCAGCCGCTCAGTGCTCGTTGCCGCAGCCAATACGGCGCGGGGCTCCATGTTGAAGGAACTCAAGTAGTGTTTTGCCAGGGGAAAAGGGGCAAGATGTCGCAGTACAAACATTTCCCTTCTAAGTCCAAGTTCCGCTGCTGAGGCCACGCCAGTGGCCCGCTCGTCTCCTTCGCTGTCACTGTGAGGCATCAACGCATCGTCTGTCTCCAAGTTTTTGGTGGGGTCCTTCTCGTCAAAAACTGCGTCGTCGAGGAAGTCATTTTCGCTGAGTTCAGATGCCACCATTTCTGCCTCCCTCACTATTTTTTGGGTTGAGTCGCTGACAATTTTTTCCAGCCTCGTCTTGAGCCACACCAACTCACGCAGGTTAATAAACTGTTGCGCAACAGGAGACAAAGCCGGGGACGTCAACAAGGCATCTTCGACTCCTGTAGATGGCAGCAACGCACAGCGAAGATCTTCACAGCAGGCCCGGACAATCTGAGACGGGCCCGCGCGCTGTTGCTGCTGCTGATTGAAATCGCATCTCTCACAAGACGTCTTGGAAGTGCAGGAGTTGGCGTCCACAGGCGGGTAGGAGAGAATAAAGCGGATATCCTGCAGATGGTGCGGATGGCGATGGGCTGCGTGAATTCGCTTCAACAGCGACCTGTACAGGGAAAGATAGTTCATACCTGAGTGTGGCATGGTGGCGTGTCACTTCTCTTTTTGCTTGGAAGCGCCTTCAGTGCATCTCAATCACGGCCTCAAAAAAGCGAAGGGCTTTTACAAGGCTGTGACGGCGACGGCGGTGCGGCACCACGTCCTTCCCCCAACCACGAGATGACGACCCGTTGTAGAGGAGATGCAGGGAAGTGCACCCAAACAGAAAACAGAGAGGCAACAGAAAGAATCGAATGACAGAGCACAAAGAGGAAGCCACACCACTTCCAGAGAGAGAGAGAGAGGTGCGATAAAGAAGAACGTCAAGACACAAAAATGACGAAATAAATGCAAACTACTCGTGGGACGTTCACTTCCTTCCCTTTTTCTTTTTGCTTCCTGCCTTCGTCATTGTTTCTTTTATTCTAATGCTGGCATCAGTTCACGCAGAAGGGATGCGTGACACAATACTGTCTGTGCGCCACACAGATACACACACACACACACATAGAGAGAGAGAGAGAGTCAAAGCAACCATGAACAACGGGCTGCTCTTTCCTGTTTCGTTCGCACCTTTTCCTGCTCATTGTTCCAGCATCAAACCATCGCCTTCACGAGCAGGGCAAGCAACAGCCCAATGATAAGAACGACTAGAAATAACACACAAATTTTGAAACCCCCTGCTTGTTGGTATTCAGCCGCTTTTTGCAGTTCTGCCCTAGCCTTTTGAACACGTGTGTGTGCCACTGTCATATTGTAGTCTATGCGATCAATTACAGCACCCTGCTCAATGACAAGGGTGTTCATGTCTTTAAACATGTCATGCAAGGACTTGATTGATGCGTATATCCTGTCAAACTCCTTCACGCGTTCATCCACCATATGGTGATTCAGCAAAATAGTCTCTACCTGCTCTTGTGTCATGCCCTTCTGAAGATACTGATCCACCACAGCGTCCGCCTCCAGCTGTTGTTCAATGACGCGCTGATGCTCGCCACCCGCCCAACGTTGAGCCACTGCCTGCTGCTTTTTCACGTCCATCATATAACGACGTTGTCGCTCACGGTATACTTTGCTGATGTTGTTAATCTCATTGACGAGGCACATTTTTACGTTGCGAAGAATACTCAGCTCCACATCTGTGCCGCTATCCGGAAGGTCACGCATGTAGGAGGTTTCCAGCTCGTTCACGACCTTCTCACACTGCTTGAAGAGGCTATCAATGACGTCCTGTGCCCGCTCAATTCGAAGCTCCTCTTGACCCTCGTCCCGGCTTGAGCTGAATTCAATCTTGAGGTGATTGCGCCGCAGGCCCTCAAGGACTTCCATCTGCTCCTGAATCTTCCTTTCTATGGCGCGGACGTCATCCATCTTCTCCACCCAAAGCGGGGTGACATAGGTGCTGTACAGCTGCTCCTCCTCCTCAAGCAGCCGCTGCGCGTCGGGGTGCCGTGGCCGCACGCTACGATACTGTAGAAACTCGCCGGTGCGATCACGTGATGCCATCGCAAAACCACGCACGTGATAAACGTAAAATAAGCGCCCCCCCCCTTCTCTATTTATTTCTATGGATATGTGAGAGTATGTTTATTGCCCCAATGGAGTAAAAGGAAGCCAAGCAAAAGCAACAATAACAATGATAAAAAGAGACTAAAAAAAAAAAAAACTGTTATCCCCCTCCAAAAGGAGACCATCATTGCCATCATCAATGTGTTTGCATCATGCCCTAGCAGTTCATAGTATGTGAAGCTCGATACAGTCAGGGTTCTACCCACCCACACACAGAACAAAGCAAGGGTGAACAAAAAAGACAAAACAAGATCTGCCCTGTTGGAGAGAGGTAGCTATTGCCTTTGGCAAATAGAAAGATAGTAGTAGACGACAAGCAGAAGACATTTTTTTTTTGTTTTAAAACAAAAATGTAGAATAATACGCTCCTCATTCATGGGTACAGCTGTGCAAATACACAAATGTAAGGACAGTAGTCATCTTGGAATCGGTGCCCAAGATATGACACTCGCTTGTAATAAAGAAAACACGGCGGCACCTACACGGCCAGTAAAAAGACAAAACAAAACACCACCCTTGCGTTTTCATAAATATATATATATATATATATATATAAAGTATACATGTATGTATTAATTCACATTCACATGCATCTAATATGTCTCTACATGTCTCCTATTCAAGCCCGCACCACCCCAACTAAAACGCAAATTTGTAACATCTCCACCGCAAATGACCATTCGTGGTCAAGATCTCATTAAGGGTGTGCAGCCTCAACCCAAGAGGTCCTCCCGGAGCCGTAACGTTTGTGGGTGTAGAGCACAATCACCACCACAACGCTTAGAAACACCCCATTAACAATAAACGGAAGACCACTCAGTATGCTCGTGCGGGGCTGATTCTCGAGGGACCACGATAGAAGTTTTCCCATAGTGAGAGCCACAAAAACTTCCAGTACATTCTGCAGGGTTCCCACACATCCCAGCACTAAGCCTGCCACACCATCTTCCGAAGCAATTGCCGTGATCTTCGCGCTAAAGATTGTTGGGGCAATTGATGCCATTGATCCCAAAATAGACACCAGGTACATCTGAGGACCTGTCACCGCCATGGCGTAGGACGCCGTCAGAAGAGGAATCATCGCCAAGACAATAAAAAGCACCGGCAATACAATATCGCTTGAAATCACAAACCTGACACCAACGATTTGACACAGCACGGAAAACATGGCGGAGACAGAAACCATGATACTCATCTCGGGTAATCCCCAACCGAGGCGAAAATCCACAAAGAGCACAAGCATCATTTGGGTAGTAACATTACCAACCCGCAGAAGCGCAAGGGAACAAATAAGATTCCTCAACAGCGTATCCTTGTAGATCGTAGACATACTACACGCCAAACTACTAGCCGAAGCAAACAAAGGAGTTGTCTCCGTTTTGACCTCCGCCGTGGACGAAGCATCTAGCGGTCGAATGGGAACCTTTACCGCAAAGGTGAGCAGCATGCCAATGCATGCTAGACACGAGCCAAAAGTCAACGCGGCGACACGTGAATAATACCAACTAATCACCCCACACAGAAAGGAGGAGGTGATCATCGACGTACTAAACGTTGCCCCAAGGTAACCAAATGATTCCAACAACGCGTTACCCTTCATGTAGTCAGAGAAAAAGGCATGTAATATTGTCGAAGGGACTGAAATCGCGGCAACTCGAGCCACCCACAACATGTAAATTGAGCCATGAATATCGCTGAGCACAACAAGAACTGTCGTGACAAAAAAGAAAACCATCCACGGGGTCAGAAACTGAAGACGACCCATACGATCCGAGAAGTGACCGGTGAGACCGCAAAGAACCACTCCACTCACTGCCGTTGTGGCTGTAAAGATACCCTGCCATGTGGGCGCTTCAGTCTTTCCAACAATGTCCTTCAGAACGAGAGGTGTAGCAACCTGCAACACGGCCCAAGAACCAATGACACACCCCCAAATAGAGCACAACTCAAACACGAAAAGACGGCTCTCTCGGGGCGAACTATCCATCACCGCGTAATAGCTAAGGCAAGAAACGGAAAAGAGACTCACAAAGAGAAAAAAAAATGCCAACTTAAAGCACACGTATCACACAACTGTCAACAATGGGTGCTCGCTCACAAACCCACACTTTCAGCAGCCGCCCACAAAGACGCGCGACTGCGGCATGCAATTCTCTCAGAAACACAAAGAAAAAAATAATAATAATCTTCTAAAGTAAAGATAAGTTAGGAAAAGTAAGCGAAAAAAAAAAAAATTCGTTTTGATATTGTTGACGTAGCTGAGACGAAGTAACACCTTAGATACAGAAAATACCTCCTTCCCAGGAATCTCACTTCATACACAAAACACACCACAGACGCACACAAGCTACGCTTTGGGCCTTCTCGCTTGAAACCTCGACCCAGGTGGGCCTTACGAAAACACTCATACACCCATCAACCCGTCGTTCCGTGACTCTCTCACACGAAAAACAGGTGGTATATTCAAAAGTCGCAAGGTCGCAGGGTTTGAGTCTACAAGCGCGCTGCCCCACCAACATTGTATTTTAAATAATAATCCCACTCACCAAAAACGCAAAACAAGAACCAAACAAGCATGCGAGACAAACGAAACAAAGAAAAGAAAAAAAAGTCAATCTATTTAGCTGGTCTGTCCGTTTTCAGATTAAGTCACCAAGCTTCACGGAAGAAGAAGAAAAATAAGATAACCTAAAAAAAGAAAAAAAAATTATGGACTTACAGGTTGCTACCATTCTTTTTGTCGATGGCCAACGACACCACTATGGCGCCGTCACCCATCACCACGGGGTAGACCTTGTTCTCCAAGTTGAAGCGCGCTTTGAACTTTCCACGAACGTTGCGCACGACGCCGTCCACGGCATTCTTTTTGAGCAGCAGGATGATGCAGCCGCCAAATCCGCCTCCCATCATGCGCCCACCCGCAACGCCGGGATCCTGGTTGATGGTCTCCTGAATTAAGTCCAGTTCCTCTGTCGTGATCTTCATGAGCGTCTTCATGCCTTCGTGTGCCTCGTTAAGGATGCGGCCTGCCGCCCTGAACCGCTCCTCGTGTGTCAGGCTGGTGCTCGTATTTGTGAGGGCGATAAAGTCACGCGTACGGATCTGCTCAGTCACATTGTAGTAACTGCGGTCAAATTCACTGGGGGAAAGGTACTTCCGGCACGACTTGATGAAACCAACAGCGTCGCCATCAGCGGTGTAGTTGCGTGGCTCACGCACAAGCTCGGTAAACGTGAACGGCTTTCCGCCCAAGACGTGCTTTGAAATCTTCTCCTGTGCATGTTCCTGGTCACTGCGCACGGTATTGTACGCCCCAGCCGTTTTCCCCGTCAGCTCGTGCTTCACCATGGAGTCAATAAGAAGGAAGCAGGCGTCATTGCCCGTCACTGGTGTGATGTCACACAACCTGTACGTCAGTGCCATGCAGTCAAGCACCAGAAACTTGTTTGCAACGGCAAAGGCGGAAACAAACTGATCCATGATGCCAACGTTCGCACCGCAGAACTCGTTCTCAATGCGGCGGCCCTGCTTCACAAGCTCAATCATATTGTGAGGCGACTCGCGGTGGAGGAAGGCATACCGCCGCCCGGGCGTCAGGCGGGGGTTCTTGTAGCGACCGGTGATCGTCGTGCTCAGCGCATTAAGCAGTGCGATATCGAGAGAGGCGGACGCGCTCATACCAGCTCCCATCTCGAGCGTTCCAAGAATCATCATGCAGAGCCCCTTCAGAGGTTTGGCGCCAAGCTTTACACCGTGATGGGGGAGGCGAATCGAGACTGCACCACGGACAAAGGTGGTCCACGCCTTGTCGTGTTGCGACGCGCCGAGTTTGTCGAGCTCGAAGTACTCACCGAGAGTCGTGGCAAAGCGCAACTTGTTGTCGGTGAAATGCTTCACGCGGCCCACAAGAATGTGGCAGCCGTCCCCCACTGCAGCGGGGCATACGTACCCGCCCATGTAGTCAACGTGTTCGCCAATGAAGTTGACGCGCCCAGGGGCAAAGGTAAAGAGAACCCACTCCACATCGTCTTTACCTTGCACTCCAAAGGCCTTCATGAAGAGTGGTCTCATCTGCGCCAAGGTCCTGTCGAGGCGCTTATCTGTATAGCTGGTTGGGTACATGTCTGAGTAGTGTGGTAGGTAATAAAAATAGATGTGCTGACTTACTTGAGACAGTAAGAAGAACAACAAGGAAATGAAGCAGCGGAAAAGGAAGAGGTGCAGCCCCAGCCGCCCACAAAACTGCAGGTACTCAATTGAGGGACACCGTCAAAACAACCACATCCCACATACCTCATCGTAATGCTACAAATGGAATGACACGCGCGTATGGGGGCAAGTAGCGGAGCCACACTCAGTCTCACGACACGCCTCACAACACCACATCCGCGCTTCTACCGGCGGTCAGTGCGAGTCCAACGGCAATGAGGAAACTGGCATTTTTAGTGTACTGACAATATATGCAATCTGCTTGTCCCAACCCCTTTTCTGCTCTGCTCGCTTTTCCAACGCGGCATGGGCCACACTCATATGAATCCAGTTAACACAGGTAGAGGTCCACAAGTACGACAGCGAACAGAGGCCAGAAATAATATTCAAATATGCCGTAACAACAAATAACGCGGTGTACGGTTTGGATTTGTCAAACCATCCACGTGCGAAGAGTAACATTTGTCCTACGGTTGCTGGCGCCAATGCAACAACAAAGATAATATAACAGCATCTAATTTGCCGCTCCCGCTCCGTAAAGCTGGCATGGTTGATCATTGTGCGAAGTGCCAACTGAACGATGAGTTGCGTCATGACAAAGAGGAAAAACACCCCAGCCGCAGTCGTGTAGAGCGCGGCTGGTGGAGAGTGGACGTGTAGAAAGTGCGGGCGCCAGTACAAGTAGTACGAACAGCCGTTGAGGATACAGAGCACATTCACAGCTAACGCAAGCAAACCCATACGAAAGGACAAGCCCCCATATTGAATGCGAAGTTGTGCTCCTTTTTGACTGTCGGGTGTCTGCGTTCCGAACTCAACCATTTTTGATGCCTTGTAGTAGGTGTGTGAAGAAGCAAGAGACAAAGCAAATAACACACATTGCGTGTATATGGTTATGTGCAGCACTCAGTGCTGATTCACACGTACAACAGGGGAAGACGCCCAAATGCGTTTGCGAGGAAAAGTGAGGGGAAAAACGCACACCCACTCCTCTTGCTTACTTTTTGATTTCCCAACGTTTCCGCCCTCATACCGTACATCGCATCTCCACCCTTTTCATCCTCCATTTCTCTCCCGCTAACGTGTAAAGTTTTGGGTGACATATGTGGCGGGCACCTCACACACAAGCGGTAACTTGCGACCGACGTAGTCGAGACCCTTCTGCAATACATCCAACACTTGTACCGCGCTGTCCCGTTCAGCGCGGCGTTGGTGCAATTCCTGCCGTGTTTGTCGTAGCAGCTGTTCCACCTCCGACCTTTCCAACGATAACTCGTCAAATTCCTTGTGAAGAAGCTGATGCCGCCTCTCAAGGTCGTTGTATTGTTCCCGACTGACGGTGTTTAACGGAGACAACGCTGTCTTCACCGTGTTGTTTAATATATGCCTAAGCTCTTGGCATTTCATGCGCCAGCGCTCTGCCTCTATGCTTGACTCGTGGTGCCGCTGCTGTAAGGAGACGTTCTCCTCTGACAACTGCTGGATGAGACACTCCTGCTCCCGCAGCATTGCGCCTTGGGTACGGTAGACTTGTGCCTCGCGGTATTCTTTCTCATCCTCTAACCGATGCAGTTCGCCCTGGTGCTCAACAAAATGATGACGAAGTCGTTTCTGATGCTCCTGTTCCTGCCTAACCAGTTTCTGCTTCATCTCAGTCATCGCCTCACGCAACGCTGCCAGCTCTATCTCGCGTTGATTTCGCTCCTGCTGCAGAAGTAGTTGCACCTCCCGTGATCGACTCTCCAGCATCGTGTGTTCTGCCAACGACATACTTGAGGCCGCGCATTTATGCAGCGAATCCGCCTCAACGTGATGCTGACTATCAACTTCAGCAAGGGGCTCTATGAGTTCTACCGTCCCTGCACTTTTTGGAGTCTGAAACAAATGATTCCGTGACTCCCCGCCGTTTCGCTCGCACAGAGTGGAGGAGGAGTTTATTGTCAATGTGTTTAACGCCAACTGAGCGACATACTCATCGACAAAGAAGACGTATTGATAGACGCATGTTTTTGCGGTGTCAAGAATCATTTCTAAAAAGCGTTCGGAGGAAATGGCACCAAAGAGTCGACTGTAAAGTGCCAACCAGTGGCTCAGCCTGGCACAATCACTCAGCTCACAGAGGCTTAGAAGCAGGTAGAAGTAGGCACGGACGCGTGAGCGGTCCCTAGACACAACGTAGTAGTGCCGTGCGCGTGTTGTATCAGGGACATCAGGGGAAACGTCATCCACCACGAAGTGAAAGAGGTGCCCCTGCTCCGCAACGCTCTCCACCCGACCCATGCCCTCCATGGGGTACTGCGTGCCCTTATCGCCTGTTAAGCCATACACGTATAAGCATTGACAAAAAAAAAAAAAAAACTCAAGCGGAGAAAACAACAACAACATAAAAGAAGTAGGAGAAGACGCAGAAAAAACAATCTGTCAATCATGAATAATATATATATATATATATATATATATATATATATATATATATAC